CAATATGCGACATATTCACCATTGTCACCCGAATCAAATTAAAATTTAATGTATTAAAAAAAAATCTCATTATTAAATATGTATTTGTAAGATCCAACCCACTTTGAACGTATACAAAAGAGGCCGACATATTCAATAAACGACGAAAAATATTGCCTATGGCTGCGAAGAACAGTGAGCACGCGACACTTTCATTCTCCGGCTGGTATATGCATCATTTGGCATATTTATTTTCGGGGCGTTAGGGGGTCCTATCAATCCTGTGACGACCTGCGCTTTAACCACGTTACATCAAAACCAAGACGTTAGATAATGGTGAAAATCACAATAATTATCCCTGATAATTTTCTACAAACCCAATCGTGGTTCATACGTCCGTATGTTTTGTAACTTATGTTCTGCAGCTGAACAATAGGCCGAAAATTTCATCAGAAAAAAAAAACGACCCGGATGTTCGAGGCGATCTTAGCATTCTTTCATCGATCACCAACTTAGCTCATTTCGTAGAGTGGCTGCTACACCACTCGGCGCATCAGATGAAACGTGGTTCTAGTCTAGTCTATTGCCACTACAAACAAATATTGTTGTACTCTCACGCACGTTTATAACGAGAGAACAACTTCAGTCCGAAACTGTCCAAATAACCAGTAAACGCGTATAGTTTGCAACAAAGAAACAATTTGATCCAACGAAGCAACTGACCGCTTCTCGAGAAAAGTGTCGGTTACCGGAAAAGAGATCAAGACATATCAACGAGCCAAAAAATGGTATAACTGGAAAACAGCCGTGACTGTTCTATTGTCTGCAATTACAAGAACTCTTTTGTTATCGCGTTATCCAAGTGCGAATACAACTTCCTCTCACTATTTAAAATTAGAATATTTTTTGAGTAGCCTGCATCCGATTTCCAGATCGACGAGCTATGCCGAGGAACATTCACTCTACGGAATGAGCTAAGCAGTTGTTTTGGGGTGAAATTCACTGTGTTCACTGAGATACATACATATATCCATTGTCGTTCTATACAAAGACTATTATAAAGACGTGACGAGACACGGTCGTTACAGCCGTTCTGAGAGTTATTCGGACAGTCAGTTAGCAAGATGACTTGTCACTTTGTAAAACACTTGGTTTCTGTCCAATCTAGACGGCGCCGTTACTTTGACACACACACAGTTTAGATCATTGCATTATAATCATACTACACAGCTGCTGATTGAAAACGACAATTATAGCGTTATCATATGAAACGTAATTATGATATAATTAATTACGTAATTATACTGTTATTTATTGTTATGGTGAAAATACGTTTTTTGAAAACGTCATTATGACATTTACAACTATAATTATGCAACGTATTTTTGAGACGTCATAAAAACCAA